TTCAAGGACTAGGAGGGGAGGGGCAAATGAGTCGGCCAGGTGGGGACTGTGGCAAACTCCCGGGTATATGCCGGCTGCAGAAGGGGCAGCTAGCTGATTGGCACCAGTTCAATATGTTGTATTTATTTTTATTTATTTTATTTTTTTCATCACCATTTATCCCCTCTATGCCCCCTTCACCTCCCGCCACCCCCCTTCCCTCCCACCGTCACCACACTGTTGTTCATGTCCACGAGTCCAGTTCATTATATTTTAAAAGACCTGTGGCTCAAATGCAATAGATTCATGGGCCCTGTTCACCCACAGGCTGCCACTGTGTGAACTTTATGAACTTCCCCCTGGCTACTTTACAAACGGGACATAAATGTTTGACTAGAGTAACTAGACAGGGACCAGAGGAAGGATATACAGGGAATTCTATGCTTCTGTATTTGTTAGAACCACATCAACAAGTACACTGTCCTTTCTGTGCCACTGGAATAGCTTTATTATACCAGTGCATTCCTTGTTTCAGAGTGAAAACTAAAACTGGTTGGGACTTCAGAAGCAATGCTTTTACTTTATTTTTTTATTAAATTTTTTTGGGTGACATTGGTTGAAACCTATATGATCTTATTAAGCAGTGCTTTTATTTTAAAGGAGTATTTCTCAGTCTCAGCACTCTTGACATTTGGGGACAGGTCACTGTCCTGGGGGTGCTGTCCTGTGCATTTACTAAAGTAGCGTTCCTGGCCTCTACCCACTAGATCCAGCAGCAACTCTCCCCCCAAGTCGTGACAACCAAACAGATCTCCTGACCGTGCCATGTCCCGTGGGGGAGAAAAATCAGCCTCTTTGAGGACCACTGCTGTGCAGTATTTAGATCAATGGTCCACATGCCTGGGCCCCATCACCCCAACTTCTAATATTAATGGTCTGGGAGGGGGGTGCAGGGTATTGGTATTTTTTAGAAGATCTCCAGTTCTAAAGCATAACCAGGATTGAAAACCACTAATTAGATGATTTGGATCTAGATTCTGTCTCCCTTTCATCTGTGTGCCTTTTTTTTTTTTTTCTGTGCCCTTTAAAATGATGAAAGTTTCTTGAACTCAGCCTGTATTTGAAATACGGCCTTCCACACAGCAAAGCGGAGCAAGAATAGCAAGTGGTCTAAACGGATCATGAGTTTATAATGGCAGTAGTGCCTTCTAAAGGATGGGGATTTGAAAAATGAAATTTTCTTTTTGGTCTGAGATTCTAGTCCACATGGTTCCCAAATCAAAAGGTAGGAAAGGACATAGAGAAGCCAGTTTCCCGCTTTTGTCAGCTAGCCCCCCGTTTGTGCCCTTGCTTATACTTTTGTCTGTACTTGCTTTTTAAACTTAATTCCTTTAGCGAGCTTTCCGTAGCTGTATCGGCAGAAAGTTTTTCTTTTTTTATGGCTTCTGAGAATTTATTTATATGACTGTGCTATACAATTCACTAGCCAACTCCCTGTTGATGGCTGGTAGGTTGTTTTGAATCTTTGCTATGACAACCAGTGCTACAGTGAATTACTGTGCGCATTTCATGCGTGTGTTAGTGTGTACATATAGGACAAATTCCTAAACATGGGATTGCTGACATCAAAGGGCACGTGCATTTGAAACTTTGATAAACATTGTCAACCTGCTTTCTTAGAGGTGGCCTGTTTATCCTCACCAGAGGTTTGAGGGGCCTGTTTTCCTACACATTCACCACATTGTGGTCAAACTTTGGATAAGTGGAAAATGGTATCTAGATTGCGTTTTTTTCTCTCCTTGAGCAAACATTCGTTTAATTTAGTTTTTTATTATGGAAAATTTTTGTGTATTAATTCTCACCCAAGGATATTTTTCCATTGATTTTAGATAGAGTAGAAAGGAGGGAGTGGGGGGGGGAGAGAGAG